GCTCATGGTAGTTTCTTCATACTAGCCCAAACGTGGTGGATAGAAATGTCCAGTAACAGGTGAAAGGATAAACAAATATGGTATAGCCACACAAAGAATACTACTCAGCAATTACAAGGCATGAACTCTTGATGCAAATACTCATATGATGGATTTTAAAATTACGTTGATGCATGAAAGAAGGCAGACACAAAAGAATACAGGTATAATTTCATTTATAGAAAATAGTTAAAAAGGAAATGGACCTGAAGTGGCAGCAGCTCCTTGGGGCCGAGGGTTGAAAGACTGATGAACTGCAAAGGGGTCCAAGAAACTTTGGTGTGTAGGGAAATTCCTCTATCTTGGTTGTGGCAGTAGTGCCATTAGTGTATGCATTTGTAAACATGCATTGAATTACACGTTTTAAAGTGATGCAATCTGTTGTACCTAAATTGTAACTTAATAACATTGATTTCATCATCTTAATTTCTCCATACTAGCAATTAGTAGCTAGAAAATGAAATGCTATAAAAGGTAATAGAGATTAATAGCCGGAATCATTACATGCTTAAGAATATATGCAGTGAAGCAGGTACAAGGCCCCTAAAAGCAATTGGTGAGAAAAATGAAAAAAGGCTAAATAGAGAAATATATGTCATTTTCATTGATTGGAAGATTCCATGTTGTTAGCATATTACATCAACACAATTCTGATTGATATTTGTAGTAGGAGATTTTAGAGAAATTTAAAAGCTAATTTCAAAATGTATTTGAAAATCAAGGAACCTAGAATAGGCAAGTTGGTCTTAAAGAAGCAGTAAGTTGAAGGACTTACTCTGCTAGATTTCAAACCTGATATTAAAGCTACAGTAATTTAAAAACTATAGTACTGGTATAAGTATTCATAAATATATGAAAGTAAAAGAATACACATTCAAACAAAACGCCCACATATGAACAGTTATTTAATTAGTAGAATCTTTTTTATTCATAAAAACATCCCTCAAAACAAAAAAGTTTTCCAACCACACACAGGAGGAGTATGAATAGGGGAAGGTGTCTGTCCATCTGTCCCTGGCCCCCAGCCCATGTGGTTTTGGCAGCAATGAGAGGTGTGGGGTAACAGCCCCTGAAATTAAAATGGTATATGCCTGTATGAGAAGGAAAGGGGGTCAAACTGTGGGGAGCAGTGGAGGGGAAGGAACAAAGGAGGTCAGTACTGGGAACGCTGAAGGAGGGAGGACATTTCATAACATTTATTGTTGGTGAAACTGCCGTGGACACCTTCTTTGCCCATCAGCAGGCCTAGCGTCTTGGCAGTCATGGTGCCGGTG